TGTGGGATAGTCGGCAACCTTTCAAAGGGCCAAAGCCATGTGATAGGTAGTTAATCCAGGAGGTGAAGCAGGGACCATTGCTGATGCTATTGTGGACCATGCAAAATGTAATCATAGCTCATATGTGATATCTGGGAGGCTATAGGATTCGTTAGCTTGGGATTGAGGGAAGTAATCTACAACGTAACCTCCACAGCAAAAGTCAGTTTAGTCATTAGAAATTACTGGCTGGCAAAAAAAAAGAAACAATCTATTGTAAGCTGTGAGCAATTGTGGACTGTTTGTTAAATAACTTGAATTCTCTTGGAAGTATGAGGGTGATATCAACAAAAGGGGAACAAAAAGAACCATGTTTATTCAATCATGTCTTATTATCCATTTGTTACATTTTTAAAAATTTAAAATAAAATCTTGTTACTGGAAATTTGGATGTCTTTTTAAAATGTATTAGTCTCTATGGACATAATAGTGGGTGAATTTTCTTTCTGTTTAGAACATAGAACAGTACAGCACAGTACAGGCCCTTCGGTCCACGATGTTGTGCCGACCAATGATCCTACTAAGATCAATCTACCCTGCATACCCTACGTTTTACTATCCTCCATGTGCCTATCCAAGAGTCGCTTAAAAGTCCCTAAAGTATCTGACTCCACTACCACTGCTGGCAGCGCATTCCACACGCCCACCACTCTCTGTGTGAGGTATCACAATATTTGAATTCATTTGGGAATGGAAGCCATTTTTCAGTCTGTACAAGGATGAGTGAGAGATTAAAGAATCAGTAAAACAATATAAATAGTGAATAGGTTTTCAGATACAAACCATACTAAGGCCAGTCTGTTTTCCCAAGTGGATATAAAATGTTCCATTGCACTCAACAAAAAAAGCCTCTTATTTCCTAGTCACTCGTGGGACATTGGCATCACTGACATTTTATTGCCCAACCACAATCACCCTTGAAGTGGTGGTGAGCTACCTTCTTTACCTACTGCATCCATGTGCTATAGCTAATCCGACAATTTTAATTGGGAGGAAATTCCAGGATTTTGACCTAGCAACATTGAAGGAAGGGAAATATATTTCCAAATCAGGATAATGAACGGCTTAGAGGGAAACTCCAAGGTGGTGGTGCTCTACTGCTCTTGTCCTTCTCGATGGAAGTGGCCTGGGGTTTGAAGGTGCTGTCTCAGGATCTTTGGCAAATTTCTGCAGTGCATCTTGTAGATGGCACACACTGCTCTTTCTGGATGCTGGTGGTGAAGAGAGAAAATGTTTATGGATGTGGTGCCAGTCGAGACATCTGCTTTTTTCTGGATGGTATCAAGCTTCTTGAGTGTTGTTGGAGCTGCACTCATCCAGGTAAGTGGAGAGTATTCCATCACACTCCTGACTTGTGCCTTGTAGATGGGAACAGGATTGTGATCCAGGAGGTGAGTTATTTGAGCAGTATTCCTAGCCTCTAGGATGTTAATATTTGGGAATTCTGAGATGGTAACACCATTGAATTAATTTCAAGGGGCAGTGGGTGGATTGTCTCTTTTTACAGATGGCCATTGCCTAGCACTTGTGTGGCACATATGTTACTTGCCACTTGTCAGCCCAAGCCTGGATATTGTCCAGATTTTGTTGCATTTGAACATGGAATGCTTCAGTATCTGAGGAGTCACAAATGGTGCTGAACATTGTGCAATCATCAGTGAACATCTCGATTCTGACCTTATGATGGAGGGAAAATCATTGCTTAGGAAAAACCTGCTCACTGATGCCCAGTTTGGGTTCCACCAACGCCACTCAGCTCCTGACCTCATTGTAGCTGTAGAGAAACTCCTTCAGAAATGTCCTGGAGCTGAGATGACTGATCACTAGCAACCACGACCATTGTCCTATATCCCCGATATGACCCCAACCATTGGAAATGTTCCTCCTGATTTTCTAGTTTTGCCAGTGCTCCTTGATGTCACATTCAGACGAATGCAACCTTGGTGTCAAGGACTGTCATTGACACCTCCCCTCTGGAATTCAGCTGTTTTGTCCATGTTTGAACCAATGCTGTAATGGGGTCAGGAGCTGAGTGGCCCTGGTGGAACCCAAACTGGGCATCACTGAACAGGCTATTGCTGAGCACGTGCTGCTTGATAGCAGTTGCTGTTGACAACTTCCATCAGTTCATTGATGATTGAGAATAGACTGTTGCTTTGGTAATTGTCTGGGTTGGATTTGTCCTGCTTTTTATGTACAGGTTACACATGGGCATTTTTTTTGTTTTCTCGCTTAGATGCCAGTGTTGTAACTGTACTAGAATAGGCTGGCTAGGGGCATGGCAAGTTTTGGGGCACTCGTCTTTTGTACTATTGCTGGAATGCTGTTGATGTTGTGATGTTCTCCCTTGTGTCCTGACCAATATACCTGACATTCAATATCACTAAATTATATGGTTATCATTATCATTGCTGTTTGTTGGACATTGCTGCACTTAAATTGATGGGCATGTTTCTCCACATCGTTCTAAAAGTGTCACATTGACTGTGAGGTTTTTTGTGTGTTTTGACTGTGTGAAATGCAGCTGAATTTTTTATTTCTCTTTGAGCTATTACATTAAAATGAAGAGAACCTGCACCATTTATATTTGCTCTAGTCCTGGTAATTCGCCTACCACCCTTGTTGTCCTACTGATTGGCCTTTCAACAAGCTCTGCAGATTGATCCATACAGAGGGTATTTGCTTCTGTCTGTGAATTCATATGGTTATCCACAGCTCTTGCCCGTCTTTCTCTCTGCTTGGGATATCTGCTTTTGTTTAAGTTGCACTACAGCGACCTTGCCCCACCACCAAAGACATCTTTCCCTCCCCACCCTAATCTGATTTCCGGAGGGACCACTCTCTCCGTGACTCCCTTGTCCGCTCCACACTCCCCTCCAGCTCCACTACACCGGCACTTTTCCCTGCAACCGCAGGAAGTGCTACACCTGCCCCCACACCTCCTCCCTCATCCCCATCCCAGGCCCCAAGAAGACTTTCCACATCAAGCAGATGTTCACCTGCACATCTGCCAATGTGGTATACTGCATCCGCTGTGGCTTCCTCTACATCGGGGAAACCAAGCGGAGGCTCGGGGACCGTTTTGCAGAACACCTACGCTCGGTTTGCAATAAACAACTGCACCTCCCAGTCGCGAACCATTTCAACTCCTCCTCCCATTCCTCAGACGACATGTCCGTCCTGGGCCTCTGCAGTGCCACAACGATGCCACCCAAAGGTTGCAGGAACAGCAACTCCTATT